TTAATACCGTTTATCAAAGTTTTTGTGAAAGTGAGTTAAGTACAACAAATTATTTTTTCCCCCCTTCATTTATAAACTGTGAGGTCTTGTGGCAAATTATTTATACTGATTTGGGCTGCAGATGCTTTTATTCTAATACAGTGTTATCAGAGATTTATATTGAACTATAGCTAGAAGCAATCGGAAGCAATTAGAGGTCTAATAATTGAGAGCAGCCACACCAAGATTGTAGATTTCTTCCACACCTATAAAGCCAGGATGGTGCTAGTATGATCTCAAACCAGTTTAAAACCAGTGTAGCTAGCAACAGTTAAGTCACTGAAATGCCTTCCTGCTTTTACCAGTGCAAAAGAAAAAATCAAGTCCAGTATGTCCCTTTCTTTTAACAATAACAAGAAATAAAATAGGGTAGGAAATTACAGTGTAATGTAAGAAATTACTATGCTGACATCGAAATGGGAAATGATGTGTGTTCACTAAAACACGTATCCTGGAGGAAACCAAAACAGGTTTGTTGTGCTAGTGGAAGCACGAGAACCGAATTCTGTAGATGTTTGCCTCATCTCAGCCCAGGAAATAAGATCCCTTCCCTTAACTTTGGTGACTTCTTCTCCTGTGACTTAAGGGTTGTGAGAAAAGTAGGAATAGAAGCTCGTAACTTTATCTTAATTATGGATTTCTGTCCCTACCAATATATACCTGTTCTGTTCATATCTTAACATACGATTCCGCTGTGGTTGGTTTGGGGTTTTTGGGTGGTTGGTGGGGGTTTTTTTGGTTAGGGAGTGTGGATGTACTTTGCCTTTGTCAGAGAACACTTTCAGTTTAGTTCTTACCATTTAGTGAGAAAATATCCACATAGAAAAAGAATCCTATTACTGCTTTCTCCTTTCTCATTTGCCTTTCACCCTTATTCATCTTGCCGCTTTATTTCCTCACATTATTGTACCATCTTCATTCAAACACAATGCCATAGCCATCTGAGGGATCAGGAGTTACCTCATGTTCATAGGAGAACCTTATTTTGTTGTTATAGAGTCTGGTGCTCAGGTGTCATGGTGATTATTGCACTAGAAATACTAATCTGTGCAACAACCTTTACACAGAGAAGGAATTCTGTAATGGCAGCACAGTTAGGCCTTTGTCCCGAAAAATTTGCAATCATAGACTAGAAATGTTTCTGTAAGGAAGCAGAAACATTTCTCTCGCTCCAGGGCTTTCTAAAATGGTAAAATCAGGGGTAGCAGAACAAGCATTTGATCAGTGTTATATAATGTAAAGTTCCTGTGTGTCAAATACTGAGACCTTGGCATAATGCCCCCTTAGTCGGGACTGTTCCTGAAATACCTGAAACATCTCACCACTTCAGTGCTAAATGCTGTTAACTGCCTCTTTTTCCAGCCTGTCCATCTGCAAATTCATGGGCTGTTATTCTCATATCCGTTAGCTCTGAGATAACCTTGTCCACCTTTCATGAAGGCAAAAAAAAAAAAAAGTACCCCTGTACAGTCACTCAAGATCAGTCCAGCTATTGCAAATGTCAGGTTCTGTCACTGGGGAGCCAAGCAGTGTCAAACTGTATTTGAATCCTGTGTTAAAAAAAAGCAGAAAAGCCTCTGGTGAGAACAACTTACTTCTTTTAGGTTATCTACTAGAAACTGCTTACGTGATGCAAGGATGGGGTCACATTTGGGTGGGATATTAAGAATCTTAATTTTTTGCTCCAAGTGCATCCTTACTCTATAGAAGAAAGGTGTTCTTGGAAGATGTGGGAGTTCCTACAGAGTCTTCGGCTACAACTCAAACTGCTCTGCTTGGCTATGGCTTGTCTCCGTGGTTTATAAAACTCAAAATATATGACAAAAATAGACACAACTGAAAGTAAATGTGGAGGAAGTAAATGTATTTGACCTCCACGTATGCCAACTAAAAGCTGACTTTGAAGTGATGATGATATGAGAGATATGGAACAAGATGAGTAATTGGTAAAACACCAGTTGACATTCCCCTGGTGATGTATGGCATTTTAGAACATTTTCTATCCGTAAACTTAAAAAAGATGCATAAACCCAGAGCCTCATTTCCGCAGTGAAGTACAGAATATTAAATGACTTGCCAGGGAACACATAGCAGGTTAATGGCGAAGCTATTGATCCAAGTCTTTCCTTGATTCCATCCATTGGATTACAGAGCTGTTTCTCAGACTTTCCTTTTGGATCATTCTTTGGTTGGAACCTCTGCTCCTTCAAATATATTTCACCTTACAAATTGGCACAAAGTTGTATGCACAGATTGACATAAGTATAATCAAGACCAAAACTTACATAACTATCAGTTTTGCATGGTGAATATACCATATGGATTAGCAACCTTATGCTATTACTAAAACCACATTATTGCATATTAAACACATTTAGCATACTAAAATTGGATTATCAGTGAATTTTGTCAAAAATAAATCCCCAGCGATACGCAGGAAGTTTCCAGCTCTAGCATCCTAGGGGTAATATTTCATGAGCCAAGACAGCAGAATTAGAAAGAATGCTGCACTAAGGAGGAAGATGGGCTGCAACCCAAACTCTATGAGGCCAGTGGTAATGCTGTTATTGATGTTACTGGGCTAGACTTTCAGCTTTTGAAAAGCCTGGGAGAAGAGAGGCAAACAGGAGGGCGGAGTGAGACAGCCCCAGCTGGGACTGATCTGGTCTGAATAGCTCAGTTGGGCACAGGGTAACTACAGATATGGATATAAAGCCTGTGCCAAGTTGAAACTTGGGGGCAATTTCTAGAAAAGCAGAGCTCCTTTACCTTAGGCTGTATATGTGAACTGAGCAGATGATAGCCCTTACTGTTGCTTTGAAAACTGCGGAGTTTGGAGGAGAAAGCTCTACAGCACCATAAGGGCACAATTAGACAGCTTAGAGGTAAAACTACATTCCTTTCTTCCTCAGTATACATCACTAAAGCAAAAAGCAGGGGGCTACCCTTAATTAGGCAGATGTGAAAAAGCTAAACCGAGGAATGAGTCCTCATTTTGAGATGACCTGTAGTTCAGGTTTCAAACTGAACCATTTTAAGATTTAAAAATAGAGTTCATCCTACAGATAGACTGAGTCACCTCTTCACCTGGTGTCAATTAAGTGTTGCTTGAATGCGATCAATGGACTGAGAGAGCTGGAGGGCTCTCCCTTCACCTTTCACTCACCTTCATCAGTCAGGAGAAGAAAAGGGAAGGACGGCTCTATACACTGTTCATGTGTGCAATTAATTTTGTGTGTATTTTTATTTTGGAAACCCTGAGCGGTAAGTAATGAAAATCTATCCTAAACTAGAGCTTGGCAAATAACCTATTTAATGGCTTAGACCCCATATCTCAGCATCGAAAGCTCACAGGCTGAAATATTCTTCAGTCTAACTGATGCTTTAAATTATTTTAATGACCGCCATTTTATGCTTTAACTCCTTGGACCAATTGCAATTGTTCTAAATTTCAGCTTTGCCATTCAATTATCACATGAGCCACATAAAACTCTTCCAGTTTCCTGCTCTGACGGGATCTGCACATTTGCAATTCTGCTTCCCAGTGCACTTGTGTATGTGGCTTCGAAACCCTCTCTGCCAGTAAAACCAAATTATTCGATTGTTCCGAGAAACGAACACAAAGGGGACATAAAAAGATCAAGCTGAGTTTATTTAAGATTTGGATAAACATCCATGGAACACTCCTGGCATTATTTGCCCACCTCTTTTTAACACTGTGGGCTGCAGCATTTTGGATAGTGTGGTGCCTAAGCTAACCAGGCTCACTCAGCATCTTCCTCTAGGACGGGATCGCAGGCAGGTCGTATAACCCAAGTGTGTTGCACCCGCTCACTCACTGTAAACTCAGACCCTGCGAAACTTCCTGGAGAGGGAAGAATTAAAAGGAGAAAATTGTTCAAAGCATTACAATGTGCAATTTCAATGCAAGGCATAATGGAAGTAGCTGTGTGGGAGGATATTACTTCATTATAAACCTAAATCAGATGCCCAAAGGTTTCTGTCATCTCCACAGACCGTTCCATCAGGCTCTACAAGAGGTTTTCCAGTGGAAGAAAAATAGCCCCCCCTCCCTTCAGGCTTGAGAAAGTTGTATGGCTTTTTTAACAGTTTCTAATGAAATCCCATATTATTGCTTCTCCCCTGGGAGACTTCAAAAGTCATGCAAACTTCACAGAGCCCACATGTTCGTAAACCTCAAGCAAAAGACCAGTAAGGAAATAAATTCCAGTTCTCCAATTAGCATTTGACATTCTCTACTGTTTTTTTGGTGGGGTGAATTTGTCTTTCTTCTAAACCATGCTGATAAATTGAATGAGTTACTAAACCCGGCATTATTTCATGTTTGAAGGCACACTGAAATCAAACACTCCAATTCACAGTGGGATTTGCTTTCTGCATAATATTTGGGGGAAATATGAAACAAACCCAGCAGTTTCAAACATGTTAAAGGGGCTAATATGTACATGAATATTTTCTTCAAGCTACTTATTGTGTATTCACAGCTACTGCCAAACACAACAACAGAGACGGGGCATTAGGATATGAAATGGGAAGTGGTCAAATTTTCAAAGTGAACTGCTGGGTGCTGAACACTTTTGAAAATCTGGCCCCTGACTCTTTGGTGCCGTTCCAGAAAGAAATATCTCTATGCTGGCAGCTGGCCAACCAGCTTTGGAAATCCTTTTGCACAGTTATTTCAGTAAAGCATAAAAGCCGATCCCCAGCTTTCTCTGCCTGATTAAGCACTGTCACCAATCACTACGCAGCTCTAAGGTACGCATGAAATATTCCTAGATAAATCCTCCATCTCCAGAGAAATGTGTTTCCTGTACAACTGTAAATCCAGGTTCTGTGTTGAAACTAATCCAGTCTGGCAGTACTATGGCCCTAGAAAAGTTTCCTTGGAAACGACAAACTTATGCAATGGCAAAGTCATCCAATCTTTTCATGCCACTATATTATATTAAAAACACCTGGTTTATTTATACAATGACTTACAGATCAGGGTCCTAGAAATAATAATACATAAACTTTATAGCAAAAAATATACATATAATAATTCATCCTTCTATGATATATAGAAATGATGTATATTTGTGTGTATGGACATATATATAAATATATGGGTTGTACTTACGTTTAGGGCACTTGTGTATAGATATGTATATCTACATACACACATATCTTTCTAGGTGCCATGTGTGTATACATAAACACACATAAATATACACACAGGAGCATATTTACACTCTGTGAGCAGACATGTACTTTGCAGAATCTGCACACAAATAGCTGGAGTCCTTCACTGGCTGTGAGCATCAAAGGGGTCAGTGACCACCCGCGTTAGTGTCCGCGGAAAGGGAATTAATGTCATCGCTGTGGGCACAGGACTGGCTTGATGCATCTTCCCTTGTGAAGAACTAGATTTGCCGGACAGTGGCACCCTGCAACGCAGGGCTTGTTGCATGGGCCAATCTCGTTCCAGTTGTCACATGTTTTGACACATCCTGGACCACAGGTATCATAAACTGCACCGTGTTTACACTGGGTTGCTGAAAGGCAATTAAAAGGAAAAAAATACGCATATTATACAGAGTCCCACAAGGAAAGTTACATACCTGTATCGCTTGGTTTCAACTGCGAATATCAAAAAGCACATTTTGGTATGACGATCATCTTGAGGAAGAAATTATTTGTAAAGAGATTCCAACACTACTTTACATCACAAATACAAAGGTAGCAAAATTCCTAATCAAAAAGGTATCAAGTTCCTAGCAGTCTTGAACTTTTTGAGAATTTTAACACAGCTGACGGTATATAAAGCTTTGGCAAGGTTTCTATCTATAAACAGATCTATGCTTTATATTTAAGGGTTAACATTGTTTCTTTATTTGTTACAATGCCTTTTATCGAAGATTTCTGAAACATTTACAAGGACAGTTATTATCAGTCCCACTCCTACAGAAAGAATAAGAGAAAGAAGGGTCATCCACCACATCGGCCTTTCTATTCCTAAGATTATACTTTCAATAATGCATATTGCAGCAAATCAAAGCAATGTTGTTAATTCAGCAGCACCATTTCTACAGCAAAAAAAAAAAATTAAAAAATCATTTCCATGCTTTATGCGATTTTACCAAGGGATCACTGAGAATGAGGATTCTTGTACTTAATGATTCCAGTATCTATTCATTGATTTATGTAGTTGACAGTTCAATGCATTTCCAACATAAGAGACCACTGAGGGCTCAGCTGAAAGCACTATACCCCCTCCAGATCAATATTTAAACTCTTAACATTTTATATCCTGCCTTTTTACTATGGAGAATACTACATGGTTCGATAGCAAATAAAAGCCTGTTATTCTTTCTAACGGCTGTGCTGATGGCAAAAACAAGTACTGATAAAATAGTTTATAGATGGTAAGGGACTCTCAAGCATCCAGAATCATCTCTTGCTGTTTACAGAGAGGTGGTTGCATTAAGAAAGTTTCTTCCATTTTGAGAGGGCTTGAAGGTCCAGATTTTTTAAAGAACAGTTCTGTTATGGACACAAGAATGCTGTTCTGTTGTGAAAATTGGCCTTACAGTGCCGTTACAGTACCGTTATTATTCATAAAGACAAAATAGGCAGAAATAAATTTATTAAATATGTATAAGAGTGTATCACAGAGGATGGAAGTCTTAGTGCTAAGGCATCATAAATTTAAGGGGTTCTTCTTCACCAGTAACAAAGTGATCTTCAAAACAGCATCAGTTTCTTGCAGGTTTTACTTCTTATGCATTTTGTGGCATTTATATGTATATGAAAAGCAGCCCCGAAGAAGGAATTCTGGCAAGAACGCATCCAAATCCAATGCATTCTCAGGGCACAGATATTAAATAAGCAAACAAAAAATGGGAAAAAGTGGATAATACAGCAGAAAATGACCCTGGATTTACAGAGAATCAACAGCTGAATATTAGATAGATATTAGATATGAGCTAGATATGAGGAAAAAAAAGCTTTCTAGCTTTAAGCATGAGAAAGCACTGGAGCAAGCTACCTATAAACTCTGTGAGACATCTTTTACTGAACATCATTTTAGAATAGGTTGGAAAAAACATCTTTCAGCAATGTTCAAGATAGGCTTATTCTGCTTGTGGGCATAGATCTTTTGAGAACTTTTTTCCAGCTTTACGTCTCTATCTTGCTCTGCATTATAACTTTCATGCACATTAAGAAGGAACAAACAAAAGGAATAACTAAAATGAAATTTAAATGAGACAGGAAATTTAGGTGGGAAAAACATGCAAGCAATATTGAGTGTACAGTAAAATGTTAGATTCACAACAAACTCTGCACTTACGTAGTGTGTTAAGGATAGAGATTGAATCTCTGTAAGAGGGGAGATGAAAATGTGCGGAACTCCCAGGAGCTTTGCAAACAATGTATTAACTGTCTAGAAAAGTAGACCAAGATGTACAAAGACGGACAGTGATTGTCCACACATAACGTGAATTATCTTAAGGGGGCTGTTTACTAGAAGCTTTTGTCCCTCCTCTCTGAAAATGAGTTTCCCTTTAAAGGATCTCTAACTGACCAACCACAAACTGAAACATTAGGCTTCAGTACATGCAGTTTCCATGTGGAAAGGTCTGTAAGCTTCAGTTTTTAGGCTGCACAGGTTTTATCCCACAAAGCTTTACTGCAGTAATAGCTGGCCCGTTCGTTCCACCTGAGCTCTGTTTGGTGCCTCAGCTGGTGGGTTTGAGGAAAATTGGGTCTCCCTTCCACTTCCTCATTGCTGCCCCAGAGCACATGAGAACATATTACAGGCTGCCCTTGGCAGCCGTGGCATCTGTAAGTACTCCCCAGCTCTGCTCTACCACACTTGGATGTGGGATGTCAAAACACCTCCTTCTCCTTCAGATGATGCCATGTAGAAGATATGATGACTTTATTTTCTGCTGTAGGCAGTCTATAATGGCATTATTAACTTGCTGTCAAGGGAAAAATCAGAAAAGTACAATGGCTGCTGTTTAAGTTCCCTGGATGGCTTTTATTGTTGAGTGCTTCAGTTGTTAACATGTGGTGTGATTGATCCAGAACATTCCACTTCATCAACAGTTTAAAAAATAAAAATAAAGACATTCTGCAGCAGGCTTCCCAGGGACTGCTGAAATGAATCAGTACCATGTAAACACGGAAAACAGAAGTGATGCCTTTGCACCCGTCTTTTAAGGCAAATTCCTCTCTTAAAGAACTGAGCTCTGTTAGTAATAACTTCCTTAGTGCACTAGCAAAAAAAATCAAAAACCCAACCCCAAAGTACAAAAGTTACTAATAATACTGCTTTTTGCAACGTTACCAGTCCCAACAGGATTTTTCCACTCTTCTTCTAGAACATGTGTTTGGCATGACAGATGTGAGCTTCCTCAGACCACTTTCTGAGCTGGCGGGATGATAGCCAGCTCTAGTCCAGAAGCCATAGAGTCACATAAATACAGCACTGTGCCTGAGCTAATAAACCCTGCCTAATAAGGCTATACAGTTTTCAGACCAGAGCTGGTTTATTCCAGCCAGTTTGGCAGTTTCACAGAGAAGGCTTGTATCTGTCTGCGCCTGTCTTTGTAGACATGGCCATAATTATTTAGGAGGAATTCTTGTTCCCCAACAAACACAAAAGCAAAAATACCTAACATGGAGCTGCTGAAGGATTCCCTTGGTGGATGATAGCTGGTAAATCTGATTCCACAGAAATTTCTGAGCTAATATTTGTGCATCAGTGAATCATCCTGCTTCTTCTGTTGGTGTTGCATAGTTTGGGCTTTTGAGGTGTTTTGTAGGACTTTCAAATTGAATGTCACTCGTGGTGCTTGCAATTCACAACATCTCCTTCTAACATAGTAGAAGGCAATAGATCTGGGCACTGACCTACTAATGATACATTTGTGTTAATATCTCTTCAACTTTCCATTTTTAATGAGTTTCCACTGAAAAGTCAGAATAGCCTTCTGATACATATTCACATGGATAAAGCGATCAAAGGAAAGCAACATATAACAGGAAAGAAGAGTAACTTTGGCCAGAAAATTCCACAGCAGAGAAGAGGTGACCCAGGAGAGAAGAGTCAAAATCTGAGAGACACTTCTCCTCCTCTAGTTCAACCGATCACATAGGAAAAGGAGAAAATTGTTCACTTTTTATGAAGCTGTTGGAGCATGTCAGCACATCAGTGCTACCATGTGCACTTTGGACTTTATTATAGTCCATACCTGCATTTTCTTCTTGCCTGCGTAGTCATGCCCATGGCAGGGAGTTATTGCCATCTGCCATCGCTGAGTCTTCTTTCTCTCAGTGCCCTCAGAAATTCAGTGTTAAATTACTATGGCCCAAGCCCTTTCACCATTTCAGTTTACTTAATTGCACTTTATAAACTGCTTGCTTAGCCTGTCTTGGGCTAAACCAAATCTTTTTTCTATTTTCTTTCCTTTTCAAACCCCTTCCTTCCATTTCTTTTCCCTCTCGCACGTATCACTCTCTTATTTCTTCTTTCCCTCACGCTGGCTCTCCTGGTTTTTTTTCTTCTTCTTCACACATCATATTTCTTCTTGTGCCCATCCTAACAGGTCTTACTCCCCACTACTTCCCATGGAAACCCATATTCCTTTCCAAACCCTTTCAGTTCCCGTGTGGATCTCACCAACCCTTTCTTACCCTAACCATTTTCCTTACTCATTAGCTTCTTCTCTTCACCCTTCCGGTTAAATGACAGCTGACATTCCCCTCACCGAGCCAACCTCGAAGGACAGCAAACCTTGAGTAGCAGTATTTTAGAGGAGGATACGCTGCTGCACTGGGGGAGGAGGAAGAGCATGTAGGGAACAGGACATTTAATTCAGCCTCCTGAGTATCCTGTTTGGCTGGCCCTCCAGACAACATAAGCTTTCTAAAGATTGTAAAAATGAGCTAAGCATACAGCAGTCAGGGTAGAGGAACTGGCAACCACACAAGATCTGGTTTTATAACACACAAAAGAATAATTAAAACCTGACTTTACTAATAAGTATACTCCATTTTCATCAGAACACAGCTCTTCCAAGTATCCCACCAGCTATGAAATGTCAAGCAGGAAATGAAAGTCACAGAAAGCTAAAGTTTTATTACGGATATATTGTTTCATACCCAGGAACTTTTATCCACAATTAGGACACAATCATTGTAACTACAAGTTTTGGGGAGAAAAAAGTAAGTTAAAATCTTAATGCTGTCCACTGCTAACATATGGAGTGCAGTGGATGCACTTTAATGCTTACCATACGATTTACTGTAGAAGATAGTGCTACTTGTTTGACATCGGATGCTTAAGTAAGTGTTTTGAGGGTATTTGACCATATACAGCTCATCTGTATTTTCTGCTTAACAAGATTTCCCCTTTCCCTCTAGAAGTCTGCACTAAGATTAAAAAACCCAGGTGGACTTAAACACTTCTTTCATTAGCTTTAATGGAAGATGCATGTTTAAATTCCTTCATAATGCTCACTCAAGGACTGTTTTTTCCTTAGAAACTTTCCTTGTTTTTGGTAGAATGCCAGAAAAAAATGTGAAAAGAAGCCTCAATTAGTTAAGTCGTGATATGCCAACACTTGTATAAACTCCTTAAGGCAGGGTCTGGGGTTTTTATTCTTTTTACATCGTCTGCCACAGTGAGGTCTCAGTCTGAAGTGCTTTGGTCAAAAAAAAAAAAGTCAGGATGCTTGTTTCTGCATGGATCTGCTACCAGATCGATAGATTAAAATTACATACGTTATTAGTGCTGTGTGAGACCACATCCTTGATTAGGGCTTTCACTTAGTGACACCCTGTTTGGATTGTTCTGTTCCTTTGTAAGAAAAAACATGAGCCTTTTGGGAACAGTCAATCAAATGTAATTTGCTCTGTCGCTCACCCATCCCTGCTATCGTGCCTTCAACAGAAAAGGAAATTGAAGTTGAGAGAGTAGACCCTGAGCCACACACAATCACCAAAATGGACCACAGGGTAATAGCTCTTTGACCAGCACTGAGTATCCTTCTCTCTTTTTTTTTTCCAACTACTGTCAATTGCTTTACATAAATCTGAATACATTTCCAGGCAAATCAATGCTATTATAGAATGTCCTAAATTAATGAGACCATCATCAGGGGAAATATTCATCTGCAATATTGCATTTTACTTCAAGTGCCCATGACCACAGGCTACCACTTCTCATGGAAACAATTACTCACAATTACTTGCAATTAATGCAGTCCTAATCACACAGGGAATCTGGTCCAAGTACCAAAATTAATGCAGGCTTGCATTTTAATATTCCCATTAAATACATTTTCTCTTCTTCCCTACTTCAATCCTATATGCATGTTGTGTCTGGAAATATAACCGTATTTTAACAGGAGGTCAAAGGAGTTTAAACATTATCTCTAATCAACTGTTTACATATCCTGAAAGAAAAAGGCATGTACTTCTTCCTGGAAATACATAAAATTAAGATAGGTGGCATTAGAGGTGAAAAGTTTTGCAGCGAAATAAACATTTCTAATATTTGATGGTTGAAAATCTTTCCTGGTAAGGTCTTTCTCCATAACTCAGAATGCAGCTTCCCTGCTGGTGCAATCCCAGTCCTTTCTAGCCGGTTGATTTTTGATCCTCCTCCACCAGTAAAAGGATAGTAGCCTATTAGTCTATGCACTGGCTTACAAAGAAGCAGTCCCCAAACGCTTACCTGCACAGTTCTGCTCCGCTACCCACTGGACTTTCAACCCTTCCCTCTGACAGGCTCGGGCGTACGCCAGGAATGACTCACAGTAGCAGTTTTTATGGACCGGGCACTCGCACATGTCTGTCACACAGGACCTGCAGAACAAAGACCCAAAACAAATAAGCAAGGAAAGCTTTGGCAGCTATCTGTCTGAGGTTTGGAGTTGTTTACTTTCCAGTCACATGGAGTTCAACGCCACAGCAACTAGTGCTAAACGGCAAGAAAGTTAAAAGCATCTCTGCTGTCACATCCCAAGGGCTCATCTCTTTTTTGATGTGCTGCTCTGATGCAGAGAAGTCTCAAGAGCACCAGGGAGAGAACCGCGCAGAAACAGGGAGGTGAGAAGAAGACCCAGGAAACGTCAGGCAGGGAGGACTGGGGCCACAGTGGGAGAAGGCAAACTCCATTTTTGCAACAATGTTGTGTCAACACAAGATAAAAACTTCTTTCTTATTCCCTAGAAAGTAAAAATTTAGTAATTTTACTGATAATAAGAGCAGCAGTGTTAAGTGGATGACTTTTGCAGGTAATGAGCACACGCCCTTCCATGCAAGGGATCAGAAATGGTGCCTTCTCTCCAGGTTACCTCCAGCCTCTCCCCTCTTTGAAGGCCGCAAAATAGCTATATGCCTGTTTTCTCAGCAGCATCACTACTAAATGCCAGACTTTAAGAGACTCCAAAGGAGCAGGGGTGATGCAGTATAACTGAGCAGTTCTTATGCTAGGAAATCCCCCAGTACTTGTTAATACCACCATCTTCTTCCATTGCGTAAGATGGAATCACCACAAAACATGGCAGGGAGCAAAGCTGCTAACATGGCCCTAAGTGAAACTGCTACTGCGTATGTCACCACTACATTTCAAGTTAGCTCATCCAGAACGTGTGCCCATTTGGCACAGACCTAAAATATAACTGGCAAGAGCCAGTGGATTTGCAGTCGGCAGTTTCTGCATAAGAAAAATGCTTAGACGCTTCTGCAGACGCAGCAATGCAAATTCAGAAATGCCGAGTATCTACTGCTCCGAGTGGAATCATTAGAAGGTGGGGACAAGGTGCGGGGAAGACATACTCGGCCCTCTGAAAATCATGCCCTCAGTTCCTCTGCTTTCCACTAAGGGTGCTCTGTGCATGCACCTTGGGTGTCAATGGGCAAGAGCCCCCTGCTCCATGCATGTTCAGGGACTTCGTTCCTGAGAGGACAAAGCAACGTTTGTGAGAGGCACAAATCCTCCAGAAAGACCAAGGGCTGAAGTAAAAAATGAGCTGTCCATGTTAATTGCTCTTGCTGTGGACCAAAAATTCCATTGCCTATAGGAAAAGGATGGATATAGGCTTAATTTTCCAGAAACTTTGCCCATAGCTGAATAGGTAATAGCTTGGAAAAGGTGCAAGCACCTCAGTCAAAGTAATCAGGAGCCCTAATACCCATACAATGCTTTAGAGTCATTGGGAACCCCTTATTCAAAACTGGGAGAGAGGATTAGTGGTCCTTCGAACACAGAGAAGCTTCTTTCTGCATATCCAACAGTGCCCCTTAAAGAGGAGTATTTCCCCTTGCCAAAGTTGCTGGCTATTTCAGTGACCATGCCTATGGTAATACCTGACAGTTCTGCTTGACATTTCCATGAGCTTTTAATCATTTACTATCAGTGGACCCACAACATGAAATTACCTAAAAATTCACTGTGACAAATAAGGAACAAAGTACTAATGTAAAAAGGTTACCTGTCCTGCATTTACCGATATATACGTACTGTGGATAAACAGAATTGCTTTGGATCAATATGTAACATGTTTGTATTTACAGACCAGTGGTTTTCATTTCAAATAACTTTCCTTTCTAGGGACAATGTAATTTTATTTCACTTTAGTTCTGCGGTAGGTCCCTTTACATCTTTCCCAGTAACAGATGTTGCTGTATGAGTATCACAGCTGATAGGCTGCAAGGCGCAGATTAGCACAACATCCTTGGCATTGTTCGATGTTGTTAGCTGATAAAAGACCTTGTATAAGCACAAAGGGTCACCTTTTTACATGACACACTAAATAACTTTACACTGTTTCCTTTGGCCACAATGTGTTTGTGATCTCTTGCTAGCATCCCTGCAGCAGGCACTGCTCCATATACCCCATACCAGTTAGGAGGTGTATGTCTCATTTTACAGTGAAGTAGATGCTTGTTTGCTACTGCAGCAAATTATTATCACAAAGAGAGTCTGTAATAATCTCCACAGACAGAGTCCATTATCAAGATACCATTTCATCATCTTTTTGTTTCTGTGCTAGCCTCCTTTATCAATCACATTTTACTGCTCTCCAGTCAGATTTAGTTATTATTAATGCCGCAGTGTTTAGGGATGCTTGCCAATGTCAGGTTGGCTACATGTTCACTGACTTCCTGCCTTAGAAATTATAAAATGCTAAAGCTGAGGTACTTTCTCTGCTTTTTAAAGCATAAATACATTTTTTTACCATCACTCAGAGGGGGACGCCGCCTCCTGCACTGAGTCAATGCACCTACAGCTACCTCAGGTGCTTGTATCAGGTCAGGAAATCTCCAGGCTCACTGTCAATCACCCAGTCTTTTTACTCATTAACATGTTCCTGACAAGGCTAGCACTCACCCTGACAAAGCCTGGGCATGGTCTAGGGGATTAGGGAGGCCAGGGCACCATTCCCAGTCTGCAGGAGAGCAGCCACACTCTTTGAGGGTGCAGAGAGTTTAGCCCCTACATGCACATGAGCGACACGACACCGTTAGCCCTTGGCATTGAAATGGCCTTGGACATCCAGACAGGCTCCAGAGTGAAACATCTCCACTTTGGCTGGGATCAGCACTATTTGCTACAGTGTTCAGCACGGGTGTCCGCTAAGGAAGGTGGCATGCCATATGCAACACAAACAATCCTCTGATTCATTACACACCTAATTGCTTGTGTAATTTTTATTTTCCTGAAGTGTTTAATCCTGGTGACAGGTGCTGGGCTCAAGCCCTAGGCTTGGCTGAGAAGCAATCATCAGATTGTGGCAGTTTTATTAATGAATTACAATTGCTAATTATTTGTAAGGTTTAATTAATTAATTAATTAAGGTTAAATGAAAAATGAGAGTAAAGGAAACTATATCCACAGCTTCCAAGCCTAGTCAATCAAAATAAAACTTTCTTTTTTTTCTTAATGAAATTCCTTGCTGGCAAGTTTAATGCATTAATATCAGTTGTAGTTAGATAGACTGGCAGTCAGGGGAGAGGGGGTCTTTTTATATCACTTCTGAGATCAGCAGGGAGCAGGTACGTGGTTTGTTTGATAGCCACCGTGAGAGTCAAAGGGCAGTTCTGGGAAAGGACCAGAAGCAAAAGATGTCAGTCCTCTGGGGGCTGGCTAGCGAAGGGGAGCTGGAGATGGCCCATGGGCTTTGACTTTGGGTCTTTATTTTTTTCAAAACGTTTTTACTTCTTGCATTTAATTACATTTCTCACAGTTATTGTTGTTACAGTTGTATTAGAGGACTACTACGGAATGCTTCACTAGGTAAATTTAAAAACTGATTCATGTGTGCTAATTCACGTGTCCTAATCCTTTGCTCTTGCAAAAATCTTTGGTATGTCCTTAGCCTTTTTTTTTACCCCCTTCAGTGATTGATACAGTTCAAAAATTATTCTCTATTACCCCAGCTTCTGCCTCCTCTTCATTCCTCCTTTGAATCTGATAAATAGATTCGGTGACACTAACTGCATGTATGCAGAGGCTTATCTGTACTCTAATCTGACTGGACTGTTCAAACAACAGAAAAATACGCTTTTAGTAAAACTTTGGAATTATGCCGATAATGAAGCCATACTGACAAGTTAGTTACCATACTGCACACTAACGGAGACTTTGGGTCTTCCAAGGTATTGTGACTCTTTACCAAGACCAAAACATTTGCTTAAATGAAGTAAAATTGAGAATACATATCAGAAGCTTAAACATCAAAACATTACAGTCATATAGAAATAATCCCACAGGAAGACTGCAGTGCAAGTTACTTACAAAATGAAGCCATTTTACCAGCTATGGAAATACACACAAGATATTTCAGGCAGCCTTAGCTCTGCCCTCAGTGAAATCATATAGAGATGCAATGATGTTGTTGTCCAAAAGAAAATTACATTTCTTTTAAGGACATATTTACATTTCTAAAAAACATTCAGTTGTGATGGTGCACTTTATCTGGAGTCCCTGCTCCAAATAAGTACTGGAGCACAGCCATCCTCTCAGTCCTCAACTGGTACCAAGTGCCTCACTGTGATTCCTTTTGATGCTGTCTATGCTGCCTGCAGGGTGTGTGTCAGAGATAGCGCTAATTGGGTGTGTATAATCACAAACTGTTGCAAGGGGAAATCCATGAAAGTGAAGGCATCCGGCAGCTGTGGGACACACCCTTGAAGGAGACAAACACACACACACACACTCTGCTGCCACATCTTCAAAGCGAACTGGATGAGTACGCTCCTTCAGCAATAGCCCTTTTTCACATTAAACCATGGAAAGTCTCCAAGTCCCACAAAGGGCAAAGAACCCAGTCCTGTGCTACATGCACTATTAAAAAGAAGAAGAAGAAAAGATCACAGCAACGAAGCCTACAGCCTTAGTCCATGCCACGCGGGATTGAAATTGCAGATGTTCACTTGCTGAACATCAGCAGTTCTTTTTCCTTTGCAGTACACACGAATCCAAGACCAGAACCAGCCATTTTAGGAGGGACTGTTTCTTTTTGCATTTTTTTCCCACATTTCACAACAGGAGTATGATGTAGTGCATTTTTCAAACCTTTTGGTACCTTCAAGAAGTGGCTCTGTGCAGATGGAAAACACTAACATCTTCCTCTTTCCACCAGTAGGTCTCAACAGACTTTACAAAAGCAATTAGAGATAGTGCATGACTACATAGATTTTATGTATGTGAAGAGGCATTAGGCAGTGAAGGGGTTTGTCCTCTATACCTGGAGTAAGCTGTACACTTGCAAACTCCAAAGCCTGAAGGGTCATCTGCCTAGAGAGGAGAATTAATTTCCAGCCCCACCATCCTGTGAGACTTCT